TTTTTAACATTTATAACCACTTATAAAAATGAAATTGAAACCAATACGATATATAAGCTAGATAATAATATTGATTAGTTGATCAATTTAAAAATGTCTATGTAGCAAGTTGCTCTGATCTGCAGATGTGCTGTGGAATCTTCAACGATTGTAAGTATTGCAATTCGTTCAAGATATTAGGTATGTATTTGCATATATTCATGCGTTCGTGGCTTTGTTATTGTTGTTGTAAACTCACTGCGCTGCGAATGTCTCGTATACACAATCACAAGAATTCACGAATATTCGTACGAATTCGTCTCAAGCGCTTGTGTTCCTACCCCCCAGCGAAAATCTATAGTGCATAATCGTTCTTCGAAATCACACCCAATGTAATTGTTTTTTCTCACTTTGAAAAAGCGAATAGAGAAAGCATCGCCAATGCTCATTGTTTGTATATTTTGTCAAGTAAGTAACAGCGTCCACAGTGATTTAAGAATTTTTTTCATTTGCAAATATCCAAATTGGTACACCTGTGCTCACAAAACGTTTCTTCATTTGCACAAAAAGTGAAATGAGCAAATAAAGACGGCCTGATCTGATTGGTATATATTTGAAAAGCTAAAATAATAATACTCCAAGTTCATGCTACACATTTTAAGTCTGTGTGAACATCGTATAGTAATATAACCACTGCAAGCAACAATGAAGAGAAGAAGATTCTTTTATACATTTGATTCATTGATTCACCGGTTGCCTCTTTCACCGGTTGCCTCATGACACGAATAGTTTTTACTTCATACGATTATCATGTAGTAATTTCAAGAATAGAATAGACTGTAACAAACGCGATGAAAACTCAAAATTAGCGGAGTCAAAAATTGCAAAAAACATTCAAATTCCCATTCAAAAAACATTCGAATTCAATGAAGTATTTATGATTTGAACACGTGATTTTCTCTGTGTTTTGTTCACTTCTTGTTCATCGTGTATTTCATAACATAAGAAATTTCTCTTATCGCTATGCTAACCACCACATTCAAAGTGCAACGAAATACACATGTTTGTTGCACATGTGCAAGTAAAAAGGGCCAAAACAACACAGTTACGCTCAGGTATACAGCACTATTGAACCTTTGTCAATAGATATGATCGCATGTATATGTGTTAGTTCACTATTTATGCTATTTTTAGAAGAATTTGGAGAAAAAAGGCCTAAAGATATCTATACGTATTCGTGTTTATACAAATACACACTTACTTTTGCATGTATGCATATGGTGTACGTTGAGAATGTATTCTTTTTTCAATGTATGCGATCGTTGAAAGTCAATTTTGTAAGCAAAATAACAAAGAGAAATTGACTCGATCCAAATCTGCCGAATTCGTTAGTTCAATCATAGTAGTGTTATTGGTTGAAACTGATGTTACATCCAAAAAACAACAAATTGTGAAATTTGTGAATTGAAAGTGAGTAGTTAATAGTGTTTTTTTCGGTTGAAAAAATTAGAAGACAAAAAAGACAAGATTAAATTTAGTTTTCCATAAAAATTGTATTGTTAAACCCAAGAGAATTGTAAATGCAACAACCATGCACATGTTCAATAGCTTCTATTCGTTTGCAATTCATCTGTGTGTGTTTTGAATTTCAACATACGAACAAATTGGACAAATAGTTTTTAATTTAAAATAGTTCGAAAATTTGAAATAAAAAACTTTGAAAATCATCATAGTTTTATGTTTCGCACCAAACTTTGTGCTATGCATCAGAAAAAATTGAATTTCAATAGAAAATGAGTAATTTACATTCCATTCCATTGAGTTTGGTTCAAATCGTAAAACTTTCAAACGAGATGTTCAAAAAAGAATAGCAAAGTAAACATCATCTTGGTCACATTAACGGTAGTAGGCATTTGAGTGCATTCATGAGTCAAACTAATCGTAAGGTCTTCTTTGACTATTTTTCTATTTTTGGTTTGATGGTTGCTCTGATGGGCACAATTGAAAAAGCGATTTAAAAATTGAGTTATTGTATAATCATTGTAAAAATGTGTCAAAAATGAATAGAAATCCCACAGTTACTACGTTCATGCAATGCATAAATTATGCATATATCGAAAGTTGTTCGTCTGCTTGTTTGTTAGGGGTTTTTAAGCGGTTGTTCTTCTGTATATCAAAACTAACTAGATAATTCTCTTTTCTTTCGATAGGATAGAAATTTGTATGGAATCAGTCATGAGCAAAGACGAAGGTGGGTCTCCGGCCAAACAACAAAAGTTAACAGATGAATTGAACGAAGATCAAAATCATGTGGCAATAGCTGGTCCATCAAATTGCCAGCCATTATTAGACTGCCAATCGTCGATGCACCGTCCAACATCACCGCCTATTTTCAAACTAACGGTCGATTGCTGTGACGAAATATTTGAATATTTGACAACGAAAGAGTTGTATTCATTTGGTCGAACATGTAAAGCAATGCATAAGGTGGCCGGACGTTACTTCAAGCGAAATTGTTCTGGAGCTGAGAAATTTACGCATGATGAGGGCATTTACACCTGTTACTACGACCATGATGGATCGAACAAGCGTATACTAACATCGGACTTCAATCAATACATCACAAACATAACACAGCACGGTGAAGACATGGGATCACTTCGTTACATTGAATCGCACATTGACGAATTTGATTCGGTTAACAATCTAAATCTCGTGTCTACTCGTATTGATTTGGATAAGACTGAACACTTTCGAAAGATTTTGCCGAAAATCGAGCTCCTTCGATTGCACCAATGTACCGCCGATGGGAACATTCACACTTCAGTGTTGCAATACTGTGAAAACTTGACAAATTTGATAATTCATAGTGACTTTGGAGATATCCTAGGAAGGACAAATCCATGGCTACTTCACCATTACCCAAAACTGAAGCAGTTGCATTTGTGCCCAAAATATGTAAACGAATTTTACGAGTTGGCTACGTTTTTCGAGCGAAATCCCAAAATACAAATTTTTCTGACAAATTTCCTTTCGCTTTGGGGAAATCGAAATCAACTATTGAGCTCAAACGCCAAATTGGACCGACTTGGTGTCGAGGATTGCTGGTATCACACCGTCGGAAACATACAAGAGATTTTCGGTTTGTTGAAACAACTTCATGAGAAAGGCTTCTATAAGCGATTGTATTTGAGTTTGGAAAGAATCAACCAAGGACTGTGTGAACAAATGGCGTTGCTGCCCGGATTGGACAAGCTGCGCTTCGATCAATTCACCGAAATTAGTAACTTGTCTTGCTTGATCAATTTGAAAGAGTTGCATCTCCCGGGCGACCTGAAGGCAAACGAAATTGAGGTCGTTGCTATCAATTTGGTGCATCTTGAAAAGGTTACCATCAGCTCAATCGCATCCGATGACCTATTGCCATTCATGCGCCATTCAAGCAAATTGATTAGATTGTACGCTTATCTCAATGGACGTACTCTCAACTTGTCGAAATTGAACAAAGAACGTGGCCGATTGCCTGATGCACGAAAAGTGATCATCTATGTTAGAGACAACATTTTTTTGGCTACGAAGTGGACAACTCATTATGGAGATACAAATTTGAAATTGGTCGAAATGGGACGAATTGACAGTGTTGTACCGGCCAAAGTGACAGAAATGGCTCAGCCGCAACTCCGTCCGTTGCATTTCAATCCAGCACACCGTCGTCATTATATTCAACAGATACAACAACTTCAGCAATTATTAATTATGCCACCATTGTGGATTTTCCATGCACCATAATTCCATGATTAAAGTGGATCGATTGAAAATGATTTATTCGGATGTAATAAATTGAAATTGGAATAAACTAACTGAAAAACAATATTCATTCTCATTGATTTCCGAGTTTTTTTCCCCAAAAATTTCCTTAGAAAATGCTGTTCCCATTGCTTGCATTTTTATTTACTGACTTCCTTACATTAGTCAAAGTTCTCTCATGGTTTAACAAAACAAACATTCAACGGGTCGACGTAGAAATAAACGAACCCGTGTCGTCCAAAATTTGTCGTTTTAAGTCCAAAATTGGCGGTAAATGGAAACCAATTTCTTACTTTACAGTGTGAAGTTCACATATGTTCGGAAGCACCTCCAGCTAAATCAAACTCAAGAAATAGTTTTGATACTTTTCATACCTCAAATAAACAACTTCAAAACTCACTCGATATTTATTTTCTTTCAGTAAAAAATTAATTTATTCAGGACCTCAAATTCAGGTAAAAATAATTGGACTGATTTCAATACAAATTGTACCTACTTTTTAATTTGCGGTAGCTAGAAGAAGAAGAAAAAATAATTGCTATTAATTAATATAAGCTTGTGATTGTTTTTAAATGTAAACGTGATGAAATCCATTTGTTTTAATCTATTTTAAATTATAGAATCTACGAACTACTTAAGAATTCTGAGAGAGTACTGACTTTTCAATAATATAAAGAGAAACAACTCTTTGTTCATGTCCTAGTTCATGCCAAAACTAAAAATCATCTCACATTTTTCAGCGGTAAAAAATCCGAAATTTAAAAAAAAATTGAATTTCTGATGCTTCATTGGCTAGTTCGTTTGTGTGATTGAATTGAAATGTTGATGACGTTTAACGCCGTCTGTCTTATATTTTAAAAAGTCCCTACATAGAGAAGATAAATGAATCGAATATATTTCATGGTTACCTATCAGTCAAAGATAGAAACATAAACAAACACGGAATTTTTTTTCTCAAACGTCTAAAAATGAATTACATAAACCAACAAAACATTCATACCGGTTTCTATTCAAACTAAGAGTGCTAAATACATTCATACATATGTGAGATAAGGAATGTTTGGTTGCATTGAAAACCTAAACAAAAGTGACGTTTTGAATGCAAAAACATCAATGTATTATTTGCTGATTAGCACGCACACATATAAGCAGTTCAACTTAGTCACACGAACGAACTGTCAATCAGTTTCTTCAAATGTCATTGTGTACTGCATAAAGACGTGAGACAGAAGCTAACATTCCACTTGTATGGTGATCATTAAGAGATTCCTTGTTACATTGTAAATTATCATTTGTTTTTCTCTGTAAATTAGAATTTTGTGATATTGGAACATTTCCGTTCAAAAATTGAAAACCGATTTGATCGCATCGCATTCATAACCAAGAAGATCACATTTCACCAAAGCAATCGCAACAAATACACCCGAACTATATTACTGAGTGAGTAACAACAAAATATCCAATGAATGCTATTCATTTGACTGACTGACAGATTAAATATAAATTATGCATTTATTTTGTTTCCCCTAATCAGGCCTAATCATGTCAATTGTTCACAAATACACAAGCGATGTTCATTCAACGATTGGAGAACAACTATACTTGAGTGAAGAGATGGCGGACTTTTACTTCATATTCGAGACGACTGATAGCGATAGTGAATATGAACGTGTTGCGGCCCACAAACTACTATTAGCCACTGGAAGTGATGTCTTCCGAGCAATGTTCAATGGATCATGGAAAGAACAATACGAGACCAAAATTACTGACGCCTCAGCTGACGAGTTCAAGCAATTTCTTCAATTCTTCTACATCAACACTGTTGAAATAACTATGGACAGCATTGCCAAAGTTATGTATCTGGGGGATAAATACAATGTTCCAAATTGCTTAAGTGTATGTGAAAAATTCGTTATTGATTTGATAACCGATGACAATGTGTCATGGGCTTATGAGATTGGAATAGCGATCAATCAAGACAAGTTGAAGAAATACTGTGAAACTATCATTGGTTTGAACACAAAAGCAGTACTAACATCGGACAGCTTTCTTGTATGCACTCAAAATACTTTGGGTCGCATTTTGAGCATGAAACATTTATCATGTACGGAAGCTGAACTGTTCGAATCATGCATGCGTTGGGTGAAAGTTTCAAGTGGACAGGATGACTTAACGAAGGAAATTGTTCAAACGGAACTCGGATCCTTATTTGACGAATTGCCTTTTGGTTCAATGTCGTTGGATGAGTTTTCCGCACTTGATCCATTATACGGTAATCTATTTACGTTCGATGAATACAGAGAAGTTATTCGAATGATTGCGTCCAAAGAATTGAAGCCAACCAAATTCAATGGAAACCATCAAAAACGATACGATGAAATGATTCCATCCTTTGAAGGAGATAGTGTTCAATTCAATCGATTAATATCCAAATATGGGTCTTCAAAGCCGTATTACATTCAAAACATTGAAACCACAACATTTTCAACCAACGAACCGATATTTCTAGTAGCGTTTGAATGCTCAAAGGTTTTCACTAAATACTCGAACTATGAAGATGGCATTGATTCGACTGATAAATTATCAACTGACATAAAAATCGTAACATTACCTGGTCCAACGGATTCCAGCAAAGAAATTGTACTTTATGAAGGAACAGGCGTTCTAGAGGTTGGAAAGCGAGCTAAAATTTTGCTAAACAAACCGATTCTTATTAGAAGCGGATTAATTCATGAAATACGTATGAATCAGTCTCCTCCTGATAGTTCTTATACTTCTGCGCTGTTAAAGACAGAAGTTCAAGTTCAGTCAGATGTCAAAATTCAATTCCATGGTGATCCATTCGATGGAGATACCGATGTTGCCAGAGGCCTAATTTTAGGTTTTGAATTTCACAGAATTTAGAAGGAATAATTTTGGGGTGTGATTTTTGTAAACAAAAGAAAAATAAACAAATATGCGAGTAATTTCAATAATAAATCACTTTTAGTCGATACGATTGCCGCTAAATTCAAATAATGTTGAAAAAAAAATGTAGAGAAACTTCATTTGTTATAAAATAAACTAAATTTGAATATTCTGGTGCATATAACTAAGCATTTATTTCAGATCATAAATTTGCCTGAATAAAACAGCAAAACATTTTCTAAAAATATAATTAGATGCCTACTAGCTAGAAGAGGCAATGCAATGCAAAAATAATGTGTGAAAATGGTTTAAAAATTGTATGAAATTCATTGAAAATGTTAAATGTGTGTTTAAATAAAATGTAATTAAGGCTTCATTTGGCGTTTTATTGCTCATTCATTAAGCGTCAAATTTTCTTCTTGCAGTGGGTGGTGGTGCATATGCTATGTTGAATCGGTCGCTTTCGGACTCATTGCTGTTGATTGATTTAAATGTATAACAGGCAGCGACATACACAATTACTGTAAATACTGCGAAAAATACGAAATAAAATTATTGAGAATAATCAATTTCCGAAATCTACAACAATTTTTACATACTCGATACTGGATAGATTATATTATGTCCATTCTTGCGATTCCCTGGATTAAATCCTTTCTCAGTTATGCCGTAGATTACAAGACCAATCCAAATACTCAGAGGCACAAGCCAACAAACTAGTGCGCTCAGGACAAACATTTGTTTTTTCTACAAGAAAATAAATTCACATTAATGTTGATTTTTCTTTACTTATTGCAAAATTTCTTCTCTTGCTGAACTTTCTTCAATCGAAAAATTTTATTCAATCTGTTTTTCACTTTACTTACTTTGGCAATTGCATATAGCCAACTAATGGCAGCAATCGAATTAAAAACTGCAAAGAAATTAGGCATTTTAATGGCATTTGAATTGTCAATTTTAAGGTTACCTAAATCGGGTATGTTAAATGGATGGATGCATTCATATGATTGATTTGAACTATTGATAAATTCATTGACACTAATTGGATTCAGGTCGTATAAACTTTTCATTAAATTCTTCAGCAAAAATGAAGACACTTTTTCGTTCTTATTTTTTCTGCAGTCTCACTCATTGAGTGATACTCAATTTGATTTTTTTCTTCTTCAGTTTATTAAAATTACACTTATTTTGATTCTCTTACAACCTCTTTGAAAATACTATAAAATCATATCAATTGTGGCACTTACCAATGTACAAAATTGTTCCGTAGAAGTAAAAGTCGGATTGTAAACGTTGCAAATGAAAGAGTAACGTTTGACCGAGGGTTAATGATATCATCACCCCACCATATAGTATTCCAGACATTTGCCAATCCATACGAAATATCTTTCGTATATCTTTGCCCATTGATTTATAAATCAACATCAACCATATGTAATATAATACGAAAAGAACTGCAAAAAATGGAGAAAAATTGGAGTTAGAAAGTTTTGTTAAATTTTTTTGAATGTTTTACACATTTCTCTCCCTCTGTGTGTTTAATATAATTTCATTTATCATTAAAAATGATCATAAATGATAATTGAGTTGATGCGGCATCAGTGCTATCAAGGTAATTTTACCAATACCTGTTATACTTGGAATAACAATTTCGGCAGTGGTATGTTTTCGATATAGATCAGGTCCATATGGTATTGATTCTATTGTTATTAGGAAGATGTAACCCAACCAGATGTCCAACAGTGCACCCCAGAATATCAGCGAAAAGAGCATGAATTCCCTTTTATCCTGTTAAATGAATAGACGATCACATTTTGACAACCGTCGAATTGAATTACCCTTTTCATTCGCATTTACTTACTTTGAAAATTCCAAGCAACCATACAAATGTCACTAGAACATTCGCAACTGGAAAAAAGAAGCAAAATGACATTTTGCATGAATTTCATTTATAATGGAAATTTGTATTGTTTTCAGCGTATTTTTATGACCTTTGAAACTTGTTCTTCTGAAAGAATTTTTGAATTTCAAAATAAAAATATCGTTAAAAGATCCAAGAAAAGAAATGGAAAAAACAAAAAGTGCACGACGTAGTTGCACGGCGTGCCGAAAAGTGAAAAAAAAAATCGTCGATCAAACTTACCAATAACAAAAATGATTAGAGTTAAATTTAGCTCGAATCCAACATAAATACATGCAATGAATGCTGTAAGCGCAATAGAAAAAATAACTGCTGAAAAGGCCGCGAATTGTCCAGTAACTTTTCTGCCAAAAAGAAAGTGCGACTGCTCTTGTTCCATTTTAAAATGCACTCTCTCGCTTCGAACACAGATTTATATATAGACAATTACTGCCGATGACTTCATATATTTGAGGTGCGTTCTCTTTTAATGAGATGACCTTGGGACAGTCAATAAGATACTAATTCACTTATTAATCAATAGAACATCAACTTTTCAACCATTTTTAGAACCAATAATATAGCAAAGCACCGAATTCAATTTCAAAATTGTTTAAAAACGTGAGAAATGTTTATTAAATCAATAAGACAATTGGTACATTTTTAATTCTATAGAAATGTTATAAAATGTCAAAATAAAATGCGACGCGAATCCAGCACAATACGTTGTGACTGTCTCAATACATTTCGCGATACTGCGTACGATTCATACACAAACGCAAACGCAACCGCCGCAACTGACCGGCTTCAACGCAACAAATGTTTACAACTCACACATTGAACCGCACTCATGGGCTTGTGTGTATTTAGTAAGGTAAGAACACTCGGAATGCTTTAGCTGTCGACGATTGTTTATATACATTCGTGGTAGCGTATGTTTATTGTTTGTTATGCGATTTGTTTATACTGAGCTTGCGGTCGTCGCACCGCATATACATTATTTACATTTTTATAATAACATTGGTGACGGAACGCCGATTTGCCTTAATGGAGTATTTTACTGACTAAACTTATAGAAAAGTTGGAAGTTTTGGAGTTTCTTTTTTTTTTTAAATAAAAAGACATATTTTCTGGTGTTTTAAAAGTTAGTATGTATAATATTCGTTTTTAGGGACAATTTTATGGCAAAAGAATAATTCTAAACCTTCACTCATTCAAGAATAATATAAAAAGTCCAATGATATACCTCAAGCCCCATTGCTTAAAACAATTCCACGATTGTTATATCCATTTTGAAACATGAAAGCGCTTTCCCATTCACTTGGCATTGTGATTTCATATTCGCGCTGCGGTCTTATAAAAATTGGCGTAGACAAAGAAACAAGAGCGTTTTCAAATATACCGAAATCATGCTTCAAGTTTGTTGTGAACGTAGAGAGACGTGTTATCCTATTGTCAGATTTTTCAAATATTTCAATTAAAACTGGAATCAAACAATCATCAATTTCTTTGTGGCGAATAGCTGGGTGATAAAAAGCCCCTAGAATAAGTGGCATGGTTGATATAAATGTTATGGTTCCACAACCGTTTGGAACATCGACTGCCAATGATTGACCATCATTTTTATATTTCAGGGCCGAATCCTCATTCCACGGTTTGAGTATTGTACGTGATAGTCCAATGAATTGGTTTGATTGATATTGAGGCATACCCATTAGCTGAATTATTTCGTTAGTTTCTTGATGGGTGAAAAATTCCTCATAACATGCGATAAATTGAGCAAAATCGCACATATTTATTGATTGGAAACGAATCCTGAATAGAAATTCGCCTAATTGCACCAATTGTCTGTTTGCACCAATTGTCTGCCCAGCCAACAATTGCTCTTAATAAATGAGCTTCTGCACACGTAAACCAATCGATTTTAAAAATTGACTCAAGTATTTTGCGATCACAGTTCAAAAAATCAGTCGTTTTTAACAGAATTTCTGTATTCAAAACGATCTCCGATTCACAACGTTCACGCAGTTCGGTTCGATCGAAAAGAATTGCCGGAGCGTAAAATTTAATAACATTATCAACGGTTAAATTTTTTTTCATAAATTCCTCACATTCCCTGGTACATTCATTGATTTTATATTTTTCAGCCAAATTAACGATTTCAGCTACATTGTCCACGGTGACTTTTCCCTCACCCAGGTACAAAAACTGAAGAAACTCCTTCATGGACTCTGCATAAGCATCATCTACTTTCACTTCGCCATTTCCTTCAACGTAATAGATAGGCTCACTTGGACCGTCCAAGTTAGTTGGACCACTGTTGTTATTTGTAATCGGGCTGAACATCGCTTTGAATACTTTACTGGATTGCATGAGAATGGACTTATGTGCGGGTATGCGCTCAAAGTCACCACCATCAGCCGATTTGCACACGAAAAATACATCCGCCAAATCAGCATTCAAATAAAAACTTTTCATTATTTCCGAAGGAAGGTTATTTCCTTTAAATCCAAGCTCTTCTGACGACATGTTTTGTTGATGGTATGAAATCACTATTCTTCTACCAGATTCTTCAATGGACCTTGGAATAGAAATAAACAGATGATTTATGAATCTCTATATATATTGGATTTTGTGAAAACTGTCATTCAAACAATATTTTTAAATTTCATCACAATTCATCTTGTTTAGGCTGAGTTTTATTAAATTTCCACTATAATTGTTTAATAATTTTCGGTGACGGTATTTTCATCTATAATTTTTAAATAAGTGAAGATTTAAAGTCAGAATGAATGAAAGAATTCTTATCACACTCTGACAAGTGTCAGTGCAGTTGCCGCCAATTTTTTTTTTCACTAATACTATATCAAGTTAAATCGCATACTTGCTACATGAAGCTAATCGCATGTGTTGTGGAATTATGGGTAATTCAAATAATATGTCAAAGAAAATGTCAGATATACTTTGATAGCAATAATTAGGTTTTAAATTATAGAAAAAGCTAATTCTTTCGTTCTGTAAATTCAAATTGTTTTTAAAAATGACTAAAGCGACACTATACTTGTTTATATTTGGTGATTTAATTTGAAAAGCTGCTATTTTCATGTCAATCAATTTGACAAAAACCAAGCCAACTTCACTTCGAATGAACACTGAATAATCGTCCAGTTTATCAAAGCGAAGACAAGTTCCCATAGAAAACTGACACTTCAAATGTCATAACAAATAATCATCATAATAAAAAAAATGCAATACTCCAGTTTGTTAACATTCTATATTGCCCTTCTATTATTGTGACAACATCATCCTGTCGAATTTATTGCATTGCATTGTGAAATTCCGAATAGCAAAGAAATTGCGATTAAATAAATGTAACCTGGTTTTTGAAGGAACAAATAAAGACAAGATATTTTTGCAGTGACTTGAACAATTCAAGTTTATCGTGTAAGTCACACTTTAATTTTGACAGTAATCAATACTTCGTTCAATATTGTTGGAAATCGATTTTTGGAGGTATTTCCTTTGTAACTTTATGAAAATATACTCGAATAGTTTTGATTTTGTTGATGAGATAATTTAAATTATATATTTTTGACTAAATAGTTTTCTTCTTTCATTAGCTTCGTCCAAAAAGCTAAACAGAAGGCAAACGTACAGTTTAAAGTGACAACGAAGGCTTTATGAAAATAAACGGTGATATAGGAGGACCTTTCACTTGGATTGAATGCTAAAAGCAGAAGCAAAATTACGACATTTCATTGCTTTGGAATTAATTTGAAGAGCAAAATTACTAATCATACTCGGCGTGGTAGATTTTAGTCGTGACATGATTGGCCAAGTGTGAAAAAGCATTTAATTTTAAAACTTTTTAACAATTCTTAGTTAAAATTTGTTGAAACTTTTCCTTTTTTTCTATTTTTTCAGATCCACAGCAATGGACAGCATAAAAAAGTTCTTTCGTTCGATGCGATTGACAAAGAAACCGGTGGTGCTTCCCAAGCCTGAACTTTCATTGGAGCTGTATGAAATACCGCTACCTGGTCCATCGCAGATTTTCAAACTAACCGTCGACTGCTTTGATGAAATATTCGATTACTTATCACTAACCGAATTGCATAGCTTCGCTCAAACATGCCTAGCAATGCAACGAATTGCCGGAGCATACTTCATAGAAAATTACAAATCGACTAAGACGATCTGTGACAAATACGGCATTCATACGGAATATAGCTATAATGAAGATGGAACCTTAGTTTACCCTTCCATCAAGTCAACTGCGTTCAACCCGTATATAACGATCATCACACGAGAATTCAATCCAATCAAACCGCTTCGCCTTTTTCAATCGCACAGCCACGAATTTACCTCTCTCAATCATATTTATCTCAATTCCAATGTATTGGACACAGCCAAAATTAAATGTTTGGAAACAATTCTACCTCAACTTGAAGTGATAAAATTACTGAACTGCTCGGTTGAGGGCGATGTCTACGACATGCTACTTAAATTTTGTGTAAATTTAAAGAAATTTTTTGTGCAAGATGACAATTCGGCCCAATATCCGATTGTCAAAAAACAAACCAATTCATGGCTTCTTCGGGAATACCCATTGCTCGAGATGATTCAACTGATCCAACGAGATCCGTTCAGAATCAATGAGTTGACTACATTTTTGGAGATGAATCCAACTATTCGGACTTTTTCTATTAGCTCTGGTTACCTTTGGAAAAATCGACAAGAGCTGCTCGAATCCAATGCAAAGTTGGAAAAATTAGAAATTCACGATTATTATGGAAATTTGTCGAGCCTACAAGAGCTATGTAGTTTTCTCAATCAGCTTCACGAACGCGGTTTCTTTAAACGGCTACACATTTTTGACTTTTATCTGGATGAAGATGATTATAGGCAACTTGCTTCGCTTGAAGCTTTTTCGGTCAAGTATTTTAATGTAGACTATCTGTCGCATTTAACTCAATTGAAAGAGCTACTCATTTGGAAGGATGAGAATGATTTGGAAATCGAGATGGAATTACTTGCAAAAGGTCTCGTGAATCTCCGGACCGTTTTCATAGACAATGCATTGCTCGATGATGTTTTGCAATTTATTCGACACTCGGTGAGTGTGAACAAAATTCGCGTTGAGTTTGACAAAGGACAAGGTGCTTTGGACCTTAAAAGATTGAATGATGAACGCAAGAGATTGGTCGGTGCTTGCAAAGTGGCAATTTATGTAACAACAGACATATTTTTGTCAACAAAATGGGCTGCGAAAAATGGAGATCTGAATTTGTGGTTCGTCGAGATTAGACGAGCCGATTGGTACGGCTGGGATCATTATTATGATATGATTTGAGGTGGAAATGACATAATGTTTTTTTTTAGTTGAGTTTTCGATTCATTTGATTTTTAAAGTGCCTTCATTTAGTTATTGAAATTATTTATTTATATTCTTCAGATTTGCTTGGACATGATACACAATTTTTATATTTAACCATACGAAAGTAATCGTAATGTGTAGAAATTATTGATTTGTGGGCTAAACTCATAACATACAATGTAAATAATAACACACAATTTTTGTTGAAATTAAACACAAAAAATTTCCATATTTACTCCAAATATTTTCGTGTAAAAGAAGGAATACCTTAGCTTGTTTTATTAATTAAATTTTTTCGAAAATTTCTGTCATTCCTGATATTGTTAGTAAATTTCACCAAATGTAAGCCTTAAAATCATTCCTCTTGCATTTTTATCTTCTCCTACAGTTGGATCACCATGGAATCGCACTATAACATTTGATCCCATTTTTACTACAGATTTTAGGAGAGCTCTAACGCAACAGCCTGCAGGTGGTGACTGTTTCAATCGAATTTCATACATAAGGCCAGGATGAATAAGAATTGGTTTGATCAATGTTAAGGCCATACCCCTCTCTTTCTTTTCAATTTTATTCTGCTCATTGTGTAGAACAATTTCTTCTCCAGAATGAGCTGGTTCTGGAACTTGAACGATTGTTATTTCAGTTGCTAGTTCTTCAATTTGAGAGTAAGTGTTGTTTGCAAATTTCCATGTTTGATCAGCTATTACTTTCAGTAAAAAAATAGGTGTGTTTGTTGAAAATCTTGTTTTCTCAATATTTTGAATGACATATGGCTTAGATGAATAAAATGTCGATACGAGACGTTCACAAATTAGCATATTACAACTAAAATGTTCAAATGACATTCTAGGTTTTTTGCTAAATATATTCGGTTGAAAGTCCTGCAAGGCAATCGCTTGTGAGATATCACCGTATTCATCATTTGAAAGTAGGCATCCATATGAAGGAACAAGCGCGGCAAATCCTTGTGGTGTCATCGATTTGAAACGAATATTATAGAAAAGCTCGCCAAGTTGAGCCTGAACGATTTCTCGTGTTAGTTGATCCACCTTTGCGGTTGCTTTGACCCAATTCATGCACGCCTCGAATATTTCATTTTCTGAACAGGACAATGTATTCAACTTCAGAATGTGACCCAGCACTTTCGAGTCACTTTTTAAAAAATTATCCGATGCCAGCACTACTTTCGTATTGATTCCGATGAATGTTTCACAATATTTCTTCAGCTTTGTTTGATCATAAACGATTGCCAGCTCATACGCCCAGCACACATTGTTCTCATCCAGTGTGTTTATGATGAATCTCTCACAAACACTCAAGCACTGGGCGATGTTGTATTTATTTCCGAGGTACATGACTCTGGCAACGTTGCTGATTGAAACTTTCACTTGTTGCAAATAGAAGAATTGAAGAAATTCCTTGAACTCAACGACGGACGCATCGACAATCTCAACCTCATCGTTTTCATCCCACGTTCCATTGAACATCGTACGAAATACATCACTAGCGGTGATCAAAAATATCTTATGCGCTGGAACACGTTCATATTGACCATCAGCGATCTCAAATTTGAAGTGAAAATCGGCCATCTCCTCACTCAAGTACGAATTTTCTCCGATTTTGATGATAACATCACTTTGATCGTTATGAACCAATGGTGCGGCAGATGACATCTTGACCTTTGACCTGTGCTTAACTGAAGTTAAGTTGAACTATGTAAGTACTTTTGGTGCCAAGTTTAATTTATTCGATCGTTTTGAAGGCAAAAAATTGTATTTACGATGTAAAAGAGTGAAACTTGAATGAACAAAACTGTTTTAAATTTTTTTTTATCTCTATTTATGATATACTTCACAGAAATATAAGAACGATGCTACAAATTATTATGATTGTAAGGAAAAGGTGGAAGAATGCTTAACGATATTTTATTGTCTACTCTCCTTTGCTGCTGTCTAAAGACTGCCTCTCGCATACAATAAACTTAATGAATACACTTGACGTATCTCTGGTGTCGTTCACTCTGTGAACGACACATAGCTACTACTGAATATTGAAGGGACTATTAAGGCGGCTTTACACTTATTCTAAGCCTATTATATGATATTTTGTTCTGAGGACGATTCCAGAATGTAAGCACAGCAAGTGAAAACGACTAAAAGACTTGAGTGTGGCCAGTTACACGGTTTTAGAGCTGTCAAATTATGGACTTAACGACTTTCAAACGTCAAATTGTGGTGCGTTCTCATTTCCAATACATTTTATCCAAAAGTGAAAACCTAGGGGTTTCACGCAACTTAAAATTCATCTAAAATTTCAATATTTCTCTCTTTTCTCTAAAATTCTCTGGGATTCACCAAAATCCGTATTATTTCGAAATATTTCAACATTCACCTTGAAAATTATGTTCTGGAAGTGGGTTTTGGTGGATCCCCAGGATCGTTCAAAACTGCTCCCGGTTCTGGAAGTGGGTTTTGGTGGATCTTCAGGATGGATCAGACTGGGTTTGACAATGCCCTGGTCCATCCTGAGGATCCACTTCCAGAACCAGGAGCGGTTTTGAACAATCCTGAGGATCCACCAAAACCCACTTCCAGAATTTTTAGATTCAAAAAATTCTAATAAATTCGAGTTTATGAATAAAAAGAAGCAATATCTATAGTTTACACATAAATTGGTTTTATTTCCAGCTATTTAGTAAAATCTTCGGCCTTCGAGTTTGCGTGAAACCCCTAGGTGAAAACGAAGCCTTGTGTATCCTTATATGGACGATTAAATCATTTACTTGAACATTCGAATGTCAATTCTATTAGTGAGACGTAAGATTCATTGCAACTAATAATGGTTAAAAGAATGTATGTTCGTTTTTAGCGGGTCCTCGCGGGTTTTCACGGTTTCCGCGGAACTGATAAAAGATAACAACTTGTTGTCTTCGGCAAAGTTGTAGCACTCGAGATCTTCTATAATATTGCTGAAGTTATCTCTTATCTCTTATCAGTTTCGCGAAAAGCGCGAAAAATGATAAGAAAAAAAAGTTCTATTACTTTTCCGTACACAACGTGTCAAGGGAAAGTATAGGAATTGGTCCCGAAATTTTTTTTCGCAAAATTGGTTTAGATCATCATAAAAACTCATGAAACGCGTAGAAAACCACTTTTTGAGACACTTTTCCGTTCGTGTGCCGTCGTCGTCGTTGTCGTTGTCGTCGTCGTAGCTGTTTGTAAACACGATAACTCAAAAAATAATTGAGATAATCAAAATCTGGAAATGCCAAAAGTTTTGTATCCGAAAACTTAGTTTAAGTTCGAAGATGAGCCATTTTCGATTTGATCCTGGGGTACTTGCCCTAAGAAAAACCTCAAAAAATTGACACTTTTGTATGAGAGGTGCCCGTAAATCGACTTCGATTGGCTTCAAGCTTTCTGGGATTTCATTTTTCGGAAGAAAAATAAGATTCTGAAAGTTTGAAACCAATCGGAATCGATTTACGGGTACCTCCCATACAAATTTTTTGAAATTTCGACCAAAATTACCGATTTTTGGACAATTTTGTATGGGAGGTACCCGTTAATCGATTCTGATTGGCTTCAAACTTTCTGTGGTTTCATTTTTTGGAGGAAAAATAAGATTCTGAAAGTTTCATGTTGATCGTTTGCAGAAGTTTGAGTTTTTGTCCTCAATTTTTGTCGACATTTGTTTGGAAAAAAATTAAGGGACAAAAACCAAACTTCTGCAAATGCGATCAACATGAAACTTTCAGAATCTTATTTTTTCTCCTAAAAATGAACCCTCAGAAAGTTTAAAGCCAATAAAAATCAGTTTACGGGTACCTCTCATACAAAATTGTTGAAGTTTTAGTTAAAGTGACCGATTTTTCACTTTATTTTTATTATTATATTTTCACTGCCTTTATTTCAAGAAAATTCACAAAAAATAACCAAAAGTACCTACGGACAACGAAGGCCAACGGTACGGAAAAGTTCGGGATTACCAATGTAATTCTTTTTATATAAAATTTGCTTTTTTATGTGCGCGATTTGCGCGCAATTAATAAGAGATAAGAGATAGATGTCTTCAGCAATGTTATAGAAGACCTCGAGTACTACAACTTTGCCAGAGACACCAAGTTATTATCTCTTATCAGTTCCGCGGAAACCTTGAAAAACCGCAGAGGCTAGACGGGATGCCAACATACTTTCGTTTAACGCAGATAGAATCAACAGAAAACATACTTTCCTTTTCAAAAATATAAATCGACAAAAAAACATACATTCTTTACGTCTCACGAATAGAATTGGCATCACTCAATTTTTTTCTCATAAGCGCAGATGAAATCTGATGGAAATCAGATAGAAGAAATGTGTGTCATCCCGCAAACCCAATATTCTGCGTTTGTTAGACGTGCTAAAGCAACAACGCACACAGAAAAGAATCCCCGGAAATTTTAGGTGTTCATTTATATATAAATTTCTATATCACGGAGGACGATAGTCCGACAAGGGACGCTCCAACAACTGTGCATTTCAAGCCAAATATCAAAAATGCCAGTTTTTGCGTCACGAGTATATATACAGTAAATATGCTATTTTCTCAGGGCACTATTTGGGCCCCGGCATGTTAGGTACCGTTGGAAAGGTCTTGACCCAAATAGTCGGAAACACTATATCCCTGTGAGGTCTAGGCAAAAATATAGTGGTTTCAAAATTTCGATAAATTTTCAATTCTATATCCATATCCCACAAAAGGGGTACCCAGGGGGGTCTGAGGTGTCCAAGAGAAGCTCCACCTCGCCACCTTTCCAACGCCGGTCCAAGCGCTCCAATTGGTCTAAAAACGAAAAAGTTATGGGCATTGGCAGTTTGGCTAGCGGTTATAAGTCCGCAAAATTGTCCATCCATCCATTCATCCATTGATTTATCCATCCATTCAACATATGAATGGATGGATGGAGAATGGATGATGAATGGATGATGAATGGATGATGAATGGATGATGAATGGATGATGAATGGATGATGAATGGACGATGAATGAATGGATGTATGGATGTATGGATGGATAGTTAATATGAAGAGCAGAATGACCGATTCGTTGAGAAGGTCAAACTGCAGAGTGAATGGATGGATGGACGGATGGACGGATGGACGGATGGATGGATAGTTGATATGAAGAACAGAATGACCGATTCGTCAAGAAGGTCGAACTGCAGAGTGAATGGATGGATGGATGGTTAATATGAAGAACAGAATAGCCGATTCGTCGAGAAGGTCAAACATTCTGCAATCTTCAGATTGTCATAGCATGCAAAATCATTTGAACTAAACGGCGTTTCAATAAGAGCACACGAAAGTATAGCAAATCACGATAGGTGCCACGATCCATCAAACTCTTATATCAAAATTATTATTTAATCTTTGCCATTCTTTTCATGAAGAGATAATTCTGAAAACATTGTTATCTGGTTGTTAAATTCAATTTTTATTCCATAACTTGTTCGGAGAAGGTTTTCGTCTAGACCAGTGCGACAATGTTTGTATATTTTAATATTGAATATCATCGAAAAGTCAGTTTACACTGCCTCCTGGCGAGTGGAACGTGTATGCCTATACATTCAATAAACTGCTTCCCCTCCACATTTTCCCCTACCATTTTTTCAATAAACAAACTTTATGAAAGTTGTATTGACTCGCTAGGTGCCGCCACAAGTACTACTTTTTTTCTCTCGTTTCACTGGTCTAGACATAGGCCAAACTTTGGCCCAAAAAATGAAAGTAAAATCTTCGCCATTTTCTACTTATGGCCAATTGACCGTTATTGGCCATTTTGGCCAACCTTATTCAATTTGACTGACTTTGCGGCAACATTTATTAGATTTTATGTTTTCAAATGATAATTGAGGCCACAAACTGAATAGAAGATTCGAATTTTTAATGAAATATACTTTAACAATTCTCAGATAAACTTGTCGAAATCAAGACTCAAAAACATAAAAAATTTCAAAATCGAAACAGCGGGTTTGGTCATTAAATCCTTCTGATTTCTGAAAATTGGGATATTGTTTTGACAATTCTGAAAGTGGCTATTTATTAGGGAGTGTCCTTCAGGGGACAGAAACCAAGACTAATACATTTTCTTCTCAAGTAATGGCACCGTTTTTGCGAACATACTTCTTTAAAAAAAATTCAAATCACCCCTTTCCGGAAAAGTTATTTTGTGATGACATTTGTGCTCCAGATAGAATCAACAGAAAACATACTTCCCTTTTCAAAAATATAAATCGACAAAAAAACATACATTCTTTTACGTCTCACGAATAGAAGTCAAGACATGAAAATTGTGTACTCGCACTTAATTGTTAACGTTAAAAAATAACAACATTGCTATTACTATTACCATTTCGCAATGTTTTTGATTTCCTGGCGATCATTAGTCATGTGAGTACAGTCACACCACATGCTCGTCGTTTTGTTTAATCTGAACACTAATCATCCGTGGGTGATACGCAAGGTGGCAGCACCTTAAATGGCGTTTTTACACACAAAGTAGATAATTGAGTGTAAATTATGTTATAGGCGTATCAAAATGAAGGTTTAAAAAAATACATTGTCAATATAGAGCGTGTGGTGTGACTGTGTGAGTACACAATTTTTTGAGTTGGCATTTTGATCTGCGTAAAAATATAATGACAAAATGTACCAATGGAAAATGAGATATACAATTTTTTTTGGGAAGCTCGTTTTGAAAAACATGTCTGAGATCTCTTCAAGCCAAATATGTGCAACTGAAAAACTACTACTACTATACTTTGTGTAATAAGTCTGTGAACATTTATTTGGAAAAAAGTGGAACCAAAAAAAAATATTAATTACATTAAATAATGATGT